CCATCAAATAGGTATCCATTGCACAAAGCGTAGACCAGTAGTATTGGCCTCATGCTTGCGGATGGATCCTGTGCCTAAGAAACTGAGTGGTGGTAGGGGATGCCAAGGGCAGTGGTCTTATGCTCCAATGGCATCGTTGCCATTTGCAGCAGGTGATCAGCAGACACAGTGTTGCCAACTTCAGCAAGGCTAAGAATTTGTAGCCCAAAGGTTCGTGCTTCGAGCACTTTCATGCTCGGCGGGAGCGCCCATCGTGCCTCCACAGTCATGCCTGTTTCTTCCTGGGATGGAAGGGGGGCAAATGTTTCAGGAAAGGGGATGTAAGCAACCACCCATGACCTATAGGGCTACTCTGTCTAGCTGCGGTCTCCTCATACGTTTCTGTTGCACCTCCTGGCAGAGGACAGCAGCTAAGGCTGCCGTCACACAAACCTAGGAACAGTTCTGTGGGTGATTTCGTAACAGGAGGCAAAATCGCAGGGCACTGCTGCCGACCAAACCAGAGCTATATCCTGTGAACTTGCAGCCTCCGATGGGTTTCCAGTCATCATGGGACCATGCAGGCGGAAGGTTCGGCATTCCGATAAGGGCGATATAGGGAGGGTTTCCCAGCCCTGTTTCTCCAGGCATCGCAGCGCGTCCTGTGCACTTGCTTTCGCTTTGCCAAAGGCATGAAAATTGGCCGGCCTCATTCGATTCGTAGGCATCGCACTGGCTTGAAACAGATGTTCTCCTGGAAGAGGAGTAGCGCAACAGGGTCCCTCGAGTAGGGGCAACAACGAAAGGACTCCTTGCTCGAAGGTAGCCCTAGCCCAACTTGTCAGCCATGGAGTTCGTGAGCGGCCCGCCTCAGTAAGTGCTTGCGGGTGTGCTTTCCTCGGCCAGGCAATCCGAGCTGGCTGCATTGCTTATGAGTTATTGGGCGTGGAACATGGCCAAAAGGTCTTGCACATATAGTGACCCATGATAGACCACGCTACACATAGATCGAGGGCACTATGCATGGGTACTCCTAACAGCGGGGTGAACAAGGGACCACTGATAACAGATTCACTAGGGTTACAAGGCGGCCTGACTGTAGACAGGAGGGTTTGTCTGTAGTCCTGCAGCTCTCGCGCAAGCGAGCTAGCTGTCGCCCCTCTGCCAACAGGGCTGCGGCGAGAACTGCTCCCTATTGAAGTGACAAGGCCAGCATTGTATTCTAAGTGTGCTTCAGTAAACAGTATCATACCTACCTCTGTGGACGGCGATCGGGGGACCTGCCACCAAATCCGCCTGGTTCCGGGCCAGCCAGCGCCACTAGATCTTCTGACTCAAATAGGGTGACAGGGACACAGTCGTTGTCAATAAGCGCAAAGTGCTGTTACAGAAAACGCGCTGCTTCTAGGACAAAGACTCCTGCCCAGTAGTATGGGATGTCTTTGAGACCAGTCTCATCATCTGCACAAACCCACAGGATATCTGTTCTTTCTTCGTGGACCTACCAACCTTCGGCGGGAGGCCCACCAGGATGCGAAAGCTGGCCAGTGCGGCACTGACCCAGGCTTGCGATGGTCAACAATAAGGTACACCATCTGGTTACTAGTGACGAAATCATGATGCTTAAGTAGGAAGTGCATCACAGCTGTCACGTCGGGAAGGTGCCCTTGCTCTTCTTCGGTGGCGTATCCTCCGTCCTTGTGCTCGAACATCCTCCAACACAACTTCAGTCATATTTGCATCCAGGCCGAAAGTGCTGCTTACTCGATCGTACATGGCAAGTGCGCAATATGCGTCTTCTTTTGCAAATTGGTTTGTGGCAGGGCTACCTTGCGCAAAAAGGGTTCCATCAGATTCAGCGACCCAGCATGTGGTTTCGTGCGAGTATCCTGCTGGATCAAGCATATGTGCCTCCATGCCATCGTCAAGGTCGAGCGGATTGCCATCCTTGTGTTCATGCATGTTTGTTGGATCGGGGACCAAAGGCGCATAGCGGTTAGCCGTTAGCATCTCTAGCTACAGCACTCCCCCTCAGCTAAGGCTGACTGCGCCCCAGGCAAGTACCACTCGGGTAGTTGCTGTGAGCCGAAATACGACATGTGACACACATCATCTGCACCTCGTACATCATGACATGCAGTCTTATCCCCTGCAGTAGACTAACGCCGACAGGTGGTTTGGAGTTTGCAATCTACAGATGAGCCTGAGACGAAATCCAAACTCATACTAAACCGACACTAAAGGCTTTCATCAGGCAGAAACCAAAGACAATGAAAGCAAACAAACCGCTTGGGAGCTTTGGCCTCCAGGTGTTAGCACACTGGGAGGGAGCCCTTGGCTCTACCTCTACCAGTGGCCAGAGACACACCTGGCGCAGCCAGGGGCGCTCCCCTTTCCACACCACGTGCCGAGAGAAGCAAAGGAAGGAGTGGATCCACGCACCGAGTGACGTGGGACCGAACTTACCCATTCATTTCCACCAAGGAAGTACAGAGTAACCCGTACAACCCAAGTGGACGTGGACGGACCCATTCATTTCACGCAAGATGTTCACCACACCCAACCAAGGCAACCCACACGTGATGCCCCCATAAGTTCCCGGATGCCGTCATTGTTACCAATAACAGGGAAGACAAACCAAAAAAGGAGTGGTAAGTCTTAGTCACCTTTGACCCTGGTCCCTACAGGGCACAGCTCGAATCTTCCGCAGAAGACCCTTACTGTGGCCAGACTGTACATTGAGCCCACTCTTCGCCAAAGAGAGGAGTGGACCGGTCGGTGACCCAGTCGTTAGCGGTCCCATGTCGTTAGCGGTCCCATGTGTCCCGAGAGGACACACCTGCCTTGCGACAGGACCCTGACACTGTCAGGGAGGGACCGACGGTCTTGTCCGCCGTGAGCTTGGCTACCCACGACGAATATTGACCGTTTGCCGACGGGTTGCCCCGTCAACCCCTCTTCGAGAACCTCAGAGGTTCACCGACCTTGCCTGTTCCCCGATGTCATCAGAGGTTGTGGCCAACCTAGACACCAGGTAAGGTGGGACCCGTCGATCCCGTACCATGTGAGTACCGATCGGCGTGCGGCGAACCGGAGACCGCACGATCACCCAAGGATGTGCGCAAACACAAACGAGGGTGTGACATGTGGGGCCACCCAACATGTCAACTCACGCCGACTAGGGGGTACCAAGGTACCATGTTAATTCACGGTTCGATGGGGACGGGGGCCTTCAGCAACTCCCCTGCGCTAAACCCGCAGTTTAACGTCCCCCCGGACCCTCTCGGGTCCACCTCCCCCTGTTAAGGGCATGCCATTGACGGACCCCAACCCGTCTCGGCCCAGTGCCCGCTTCATCCCATTGGTGGTGCAAACTCTCGCCAGCAAAGCCTTCTTTGATTGCACACTGCTGACACCTCGAACAAATGCCAGGAGACCACTTGGCGAGGGCCTTTTGCTGAGGAAACAGCCTTCGAACGACGCGAAGGCCTTAAGTGCATTTGCCTTCCCACCACCCGGCAGGAAACACATGCAGAAGCCTTTGCAGGCTGTCTTGCCCAGAGAACGATGCCGTGTGCCCAAACGCTCGAGGTCACAGAACTGGTGCCTTCAGGGCGGTGACCTCAGTCACTGTCCCTTTAGTGACTTTAGTGTAGCAGGCGCTGAAGACCATTCCCTCAAGCTCCCTGCGTGAAGCAGCTGCATGGTGCCTTGGCTCAAACAACGAGTGCCCTACGTGCGATCGGCCTCCTTCCGACGCCCATGGCCAATGAAAGTCTCTCCCAAGTCAGCACCCCAGCGGAATCTGAAGAGGGAGCCACCACCCTACCGCTTGTGCTGACCACGCTTGCAGGGGAAGAGATTCGGAAAGAGAGGTTGGGACACCCTGAAACGCAAATCCCAATGGCATGGCCACATCCGGCACCCCAAAAACACGACTCTCCAAACGCTAATCCCAAGGGAACTGCGCAGCAAACTGCGGATCTCACAAAACGTTGCACCTGCGCAGTGAAATCATCCTCCACACTTCAGCATCTTACATTTCCACACGATTCCTCGCTATTTCACACGAATCTGACACGTCACGTTTCCATCCGAAACCTACTCCAAAAGCTTCCCCAATGGCCTCGAATTTGAGACGCGACGACGACGACAAACGACGACGAACGACGACAGACGACGACACGACGCAAGCCACGCAAACACAGCTCCAACCCCCAGACCCCCAACTATAAGCGGGAACCCTTCGCTACGCATTCGGGAAAAAAATTGTAGCTCACTTCACTGCACTTTTTAGGTGGAGTGTTAGCAGTTTCCACCTTGTACATGCCGCATGTCACGAACACATGTTCAACCGGGCTTACAGTGGCCCAAGCCGTGTTTGGAAAACAGCCGGCGCGTGGTTCGTTTGTTTTTCAGGTACCCTGGCATCGTTCTTTCATAGCTTCAAGAAGTCAATTGGACACATATTTTTGCATATGTTTTCTGTTACTCGTTGTTTTTTTTCAATTTGTTGTTGGTTCGTGTGGTTCGGTTGGTGCATTGTGTGCTGTTTCAGATTTGCTCTTGGGTGATTTATTTCCATCCGTGTTCACTGTGTCATGACCTTTTCTCAAGCTGGGCGCGCGGGTGCTTAGCCACGCCCTGCTTGCATGTTTCAATTTGGATTACAGGGAACTGTGTAATCTTGGAGTACACATTTCACTCGTGAATTGTGCTGTTTGGTTATGTATATAGAGTGACCCCCAATTTGGCAACCACTGTGTGGCTTGCCACATTGACAGCCATGCGATTCAATTGGCAAGGTTTTCTTGTTCGATACAGCCCATGTCAAACGTTCGAGACCCGAAAAATCAGAGCCTAGCCTGACACCACTTGGATCAGGCAGAATGACGACCCATCACCCTGGAACCTCAACAGCCACAGATGAACTGAACTCCTGCAGCATAATTTCAGATCCTTCAAAAATAGAAGAACCCCAGGACCCACTTGCTTACCTGCCAGGTATTTGGAATGCAAACATGATTGCCGGTCTAGCGAAGGCAGCAGTCTTATGATCGACAACAAGTGTTGAAATGCTGCGTGTTTCAACTTGATTGACAGCAGTCTTCACATGAGTTTCAGAAAAAAAATTGAGTAGCAGTTTCCTGACAGGCTCCAATGTTTTTACAAGTTATTATTGCAATATTTTTAAATCTGCAACCTTGGATGCTAAGCTTTATTTAGACACATAGTTTATCAGTTACGTTACGTACAAGACAAATTTTGAAACTCAGAACTAGAAGGACAATTCTCAAGTCAAAGCAGGGCAAACACCAAGGACTCAACCAGGAAGGCTGTTTCGCTTTGGACATGATGTATTGTGCAGTTCGTCCATGTGTGCAAAGCATTTGTCAGGATGTGCCGCCACTGTGCTGTCCCCAGATTTGAAAGATCCGAGTAGTCTGCGTGGCTCTAACCGAGCAAATCTGGGATCTTCTTGTCAGGCATTCCATTGGAGGAGGCCAGCCAGTGAGCCATGCTGGATTCTGCTAGATCGAAGCTCTTTTCAAGTCAAAATCCGAAAATGGTTTGATGCAGACAAGTCCTGTGAACGAATGTTAAGGGTTCTGACAGCTACATTTGCAGAGAAAATGGACAGTAACTCCGTTCTTTTTGCACTACGTCTTGTTTCTTTCCTTCTCATGCCTTATCAATGTACCGCTGAATCTTTGTTTATTGAGTTTGTCACATATCCAAGAAGCAGCTGACGAACCACAATGAAATCTTTGGAACTTCAACGATCAGGGAATGCTCGCAAGCAGTTTTCTCCTTCTATTCACAAGTTGGGACCGATTGAGACAAACATGTCAGACAACTGATGGAAAGCAGTGTCGAAGAGTTAGAACAAGTTTCTGGTGGGGGGAAATTGAGCTCCTGAGATTCCTGCAATGGTTTCTACATACACTTTCAATATAGTTTCAGTTTCTAGGACTACATTTCTTCCACAGAAAAGGATTGACTGGTTCATGACAACAGTTTTGAGTCTGACGTATTGGCAGGAGTTGTTGCAGTGTGGCCGAAGGTGAAGAGGCCAGAGCTCAGTCATGCACTCACTGAGCAGAATGATGCGTTACTGTCTTCAATATCCCGGGCTTCAGCCGGAAGGAATCCACTTGGCATCTTTGCGCGAATTGTTTGTTCCCCAAACAGGTTTACCTGTGAGGGGTTCTTACTCCTTTTAAAGGGGTGCATGCTCGGGCCGGATGATTTTGAGTTTGTCTCCGGGCTTGTGTTCCTGGCCGCATGATTTCACCCTTGTCTCCCACTTGTCTCCCACTTGTCTCCCACTTGTCTCCCACTTGTCTCCCAGTAAGCTCTGGATGC